GGGAATATAGGGGGCTTAGGGTTTCGGCTCTCACACTCGGACAATCCAGGCGAGGCATATGGTTCGAGGTCTGCAAAGTGAAACCAGCACAGGTTTAGGGTTTAGGGTTGAAGCTTTTCTTCCGACTTTTCGCGCACTTTGGGTTCCAGGTCGATTGGTTCTCGATGGCTTTTGAAGTTTAGGGACTTTTGGTGCTTAGCACGTTGAAACTTAGTGTTTACCTATGTTATAGTCTCCATTGTAGTTGCTTTTCTTGTTTAACCAGTTCAATTTTTAAGGAGCCTTAAAAGTAACCCCCCAAAAAGGAACTACAATGGAGACTCTAGGTAGGTTTCTAAGCTGCCTTATGTTGTTGGGGTTTGGACCTTGCTGACGACCCCTCAGACTGCAGCCCAGACCCTAAACCCGAAGCCCCCAAGCCCTAAAAACTTGGTGGTACCTGTTAAAGGTTACCTCCTCCGCGGACGAACTGCAAAGCTGACAACGACAGACCGAACCTCCACTTCGCACTTATTTCGGCTTTAGGGTTTAGGGGACTCTACTATACCCACTACTAAGGAGCATAAGGGTTCACCTGGAAACCCTAAACCCTAAACCCTACACCCTATAAAGCCTAAACCCTGAACCCTCAACCCTGAACTCTAAACTTTGGGGGGGTCGTGCTAGGGTTGGTTCATGGTTTTCGAATCTAGGCCTCGCAGGGCTTATGACCTCGAGAGCTTCGGGGGCTTGGGTGGGTTTCAACAACCTTGCCAGGTTCAGGGTTTAGGGGTTTAGGGGTTCAGGGTTTAAACCCTAAACCCTAAACCCTAAACCCTAGGGGGTGTTTTAGATTTCTTGTGTGTTCTGTCTTTCGGCTTTCTTAACCCGTGGGAATATTTAGGGATTTTACTCCCCAGGAAGATCGAAACCCTAAAGCCTTAACCAGAAACCCTAAATGCAACTCGGTTTAGGGTTTTGGTTTAGGGTTTAGGGTTTAGGGTTTAGGGTTTAGGGTATAGGGTTTAGGGACAACCTAAGAATAATTCGAAAGAGGCTCCCAAAAGGCAGATCGATGGTGGTGGTGCCATCCTCCGATTCCTCGCCAATTCTGCCCTGAAGCCTGACCCCGAAAATGGGCTTGAGGCTTAGGCGTCCTACCACCTGAACGCTGGGGCTTCCTTGCTTTCCGAAGTTACTCAAAACCCTACTATGTAAACCCTAAACCCTAAACCCTAAACCCTACTATGTAAACCCTAAACCCTAAACCCTAAACCGACTCTGAATTCTGCAACATCAAAATCTACACTCCGCACCCCAAAACCAAAAGCCTCAACTCATGAGCTCCAAACCGCCGGAGGGTTTAGGGTTTACTAAGGAGGACGGAATTATTAGAACACGGTTCTGGTGCATGTCGTGCAGGTTTACACTTTGCAGCCCTAAGCCCTAAACCCTGAACCCTGAACCCTAAACCCTAAACCCTAAATCCTGAACCCTAAACCCTAAACCCTTTACCAACTAGTCCGAGCCTTAAAGGAGAGCTCTGGGGCTTACGGGGACATCCTGCCGGCCTTTCAGCAAAGGGAAACGCAGAGGATGCCCCCAAGCTTTATCGGGGTTCATATGGGAGTTTCCGAAAATATGGGGTACCTTCTTTTGGGGCCCTTACAATAAGGATCCTACTATTTAGGGTCCTATCCTAAATGTACAGGCCTTAGTACCAGTAGCCTTAGCACTAACATTATTGATGCTACATCTCAGCTACCACTGAATGACTCAACGCAGTGTTCAAGCACTGTTCATAGATAAATGCCAGTACTACCACTTCGTACTTCTGACAAAGACCAACCACTGCCAGTATTGTCGCGTGCGGCAAAAGTTCTTTGCTGCCAAAGTGCTCACAATTCTTATTCTTACTGCTGTATTTAAAGCGTCTGATTCCTCTGGGAAGGTGCTTTGGCTTGCCGCGTAAGTACAGAGGTCTGCAGCTCTTCTTGAAAAAAAGTACTCAGAGCCAGCATACATGCTGAGGTTAATATTTCAAACCGGAAGAACCCCGCACCATAAAGCCACCACGACTCGACTCCACCATGCTTTATGGCAGCATCTTCTGCAACATTCAATATGGGAGTAGGCCCTGATCCATACGGCGTAGGACCCCCGTAAACCCTAAACCCTAAACTCTAAACCCTAAACCCTAAACCCAAAGACCCCCTCTAAAAACCGGGCGGAGCTGAAGGCGAAGGGGTCCTGTTGGCCGCCGGAAGTGCCGGCGCGGCCTCAGAGGCCGTGGCGATGTCGCTGGGCTTGTTTATAAACGCAGTGTAGGAATTGAAGTGTCTTGTGACGGGCGTCCCCTTTAATTTTTTGTAGCGGCTTTTTGGGATTGTAGTCAGGTTTGCAAAAGGCGTTGATGCCGTGTTTGGGACGAGGCTGTCAGAGACGGGGCCGACCGGGATTCACGGCTTAGGGTTTTCCACTCTCACACTCGCACAAGGGCCTTGCCGGCTTAGGGTTTAAGGGTTTGGGGCTTAGGGTTTTTGTCCTTGGTATTTCGAGGGTAGATGAATGATCACGCTTGTTGGGTACTAGGGCCGTTTTAAGATTAAGGCTTCTAGCTTAGAAGCTTTAGGCTTAGACTTTAGGGTTTATAGGGCTTTTGAAATGGGGTTTCGGACCAAAGAATACACCCTAAATCCCGAGAGTTTGACGATCGTGCTGAAAAGCAGGCCTTTAGGGTTGCCTGAATCCTTCTAGCGCTTTCCTGAAACGGGGTTTGTGTTCGGGGGTGGGTCTTGGGACTTGCGACTTTGGCGTTTTGGGGGGGGCTCAGGGTTCAACATTTAGGGTGTAGGGGTTTAGGGTTTAGGGTTTAGGGTTTAGGGTTTAGGGTTTAGGGTTTAGGTTTGCTTCGGGGTTTAGGGGGGGGCTTGTTCGGGGGGACTCTGGATACGCGAACCTTGCATGTGGATAGTTCTCTAAAACTCGGGTCCCTTTTTAGGGTCCCCAATATAGCACGGCACCCTTATAAAAAGGACACCCCAAAAGGGAGCCTACAATTTAGAGAACTCAAGTCGAAGCCATCCCAAACCCTTAAACCCTTAACCCCTAAACCCTAAAACCCTAAACCCTAAACCCTAAACCCAAACCCCTAAATCCCCTAAACCCTTAACCCTAAACCCTAAATCCCCAAATCCCTAAACCCAAGCCTTAAATCACGGGCTTTTTCGCTGCATTCTCCGGCCCAAGAAGTCCTGAAGCCTCAGGCCCGAACACCTTAGAACCCCCAGCAGCCACCTAAACCTAGGGTTTAGGCCTAAACCCTATAAGCCCTCGACCCTATGGACCCTAGGGTTTAGGGTTTAGGGTTTAGGGTTTCGGGTTTAGCGTTTAGGGTTTAGGCCTAAACCCTATAAGCCCTCGACCCTGAGACCCTTTCTGCTATGGGACCCAAGTCTGGTCAGACCGACCACCCCTAACCCTAGCACCTCAACACAAGCCTTAAAACCCCTAGACCCTAGCTTAGGGTTTAGGGGTTTAGGGGTTTAGGGAAACCCTAGACTCTAGACCCTACACTAAACCCTAAACCTAAACCCTAAACCCTAAACCCTAACCCTAAACCCTAAACCCTAAACCCTAAACCCTAAACCCCAAACCCTAAACCCTATAAACCGCCGACCCTCACCTCCTCCAACTCGAACGCGCCGGCTTGCAGAGCGATCAGAAACGTCGCGCTGCTCGTCCTGGCTCGAGAGGTTATCAGAGTGTGGGGCTTAAAGGCTTTATAGGGTTCAGGGTTGTGGGTTTAGGATTAGGGTTTAGGGTTTAGGTTGTGGGGCTTTTCAGGGCCCAGCACTTTCCCTCAATTAGCAATTAGAGCCCTTATGGTCCTTAGTTTGGGTTTTGGAGCCCTAAACCCGAAACCCTAAACTCTCAAGGGGGTGTAGAAGAAAGCCTACGTAGGGCTCCTATGCAAGCCGTAGGACTCCAGGTTTTGAGGGTCTCCCCTGGTTTCGGTGTTATGGTCTCGTAGGGTTTAAGGTTTAGGGTTTAAGGTTTAGGGTTTAGGGTTTAGGTCTAGCTGTTTGAAGGCTTGTTCAAGCGCTCAGGGTTTACTTTGGGTTTACTTAGAAGCCAGCAAAGGGCCAGCAGCGTTATATCAATCTCCCCCAAGTACGTAAGCACACAAGATCCGGGCACGAACCGTCCTCGACCAATGTGGCGTTTAGGCTCTGGCTTAGTGGTCCTTCTAATACCCCTCCAGCGATTCCGAACTCTGAGGCGTTGTGTTGTAGGGGTCGAAAGAACCAAGCCCTATAGGAGCCGATGCTTTCCTGTGGGGCTGAAAGCGATTCTGAGAGCTGTTCGGGAGGCCAAGGTATTTCGCCAACAAATGGGTAATTAGATCTCTAAATTCGGGTCCCTTTTGGGGCTTCTTTTTATAAGGACCCAAGAAGGGACCCTAATTTAGAGAACTACCCAAATGGATAGTTGTCAAAATTATGGTCCCTTTTAGGGTACCCTAAATATTAGGTGCCGTATTATACTAAGGACCCAAAAAGGGACCCTAACTTAGAGAGCTACCCAAATGTGGATCGGCTAAGTTCCTCTTGGCGCCTATGTCTTCTCTAGGCTGGAAGCGCTTAAACCGAGCCCAATCTCCTGCATGGGCTTTCGATCGGTAGAATGGGACGGTTTGGCCCTAAACCCTAAACCGGCTGAATTTATATCTAAGGGTACGAGTAAGCCCCAAACCGAAAGCTGCACAGACAGACAGACAGCCAGACAGACACACAGACACCTACACACACACACACACAGACGCCTGCGCAGGACACGGCGTCCCGCAGAGTGGGCACAGATTGAAACCGGAAACACCAAACTCAAAACCCCGAACCCTAAACCCGAAACCCTAAACCCTAATCCCTAAACCCGAAACCCTAAACCGTAATCCCCAAACCCAAAACCCTAAACCCTAAACCCGAAACCCGAACTGAAAAGAACCCATGCAGCCGACTGACTCCAAGCGCAGCCGAGGCCTCGACCCGATTTTGGACAGTTTTAAACGATTTTTTGGGTTCCGTGCTTAGGGTTTAGGGGTCTAGGGTTTAGGGTTTAGGGTTTCCCAGAGAGCCCAAAGACCCCTTAAATAAGGAATATGCCTTAAAGCAAAGGGGCCTTAATGTTATTATTCACGGTATATTCCTTAATTAAGGGGTATTGGGCTCTCTGGGTTCGGCGCTCGGACTCGGACACTCCAGGGTTTAGGGTTTATAGGGTTTGAGGTGTCAGTGGTAGGGGTTTTTAAAAAATTAGGACTTCAGGGTGTCAAGGGTTCAGGTGCACAACGCTGCTAGTTGATGCAAGAACTCTGTGAGTAGCAAACATGCACTCATAACGACTGGTGGATGTGACCGACCCTAAACCCTAATCCCTAAACCCTAAACCCTAAACCCTAAACCCGCCACCCTGTTGAAGTCCTACAGCTTGCCGACAAAAAATGCTGCCACCGCGCTGCCGAGGCGCGTGCTCGTTCTGTTGGCGCTGACGTTCTGAAGTTGTGCTGGCTGCCCTAAGTCCCTCTGCTAAGATCTATGTCCGCTATACGCATGCAGTATTTAGGTACCAGGAAACCCCTAAACCCCTAAACCCTACACCCTAAACCCCTAAACCCCTAAACCCCTAAACCCTAAACCCCTAACCCCTAAACCCCTAAACCCTGAATCCACAAGTCCAAAGAAGTCTGAGCCACCCAAGCCCTGCAGCAGCTTGACGCCGCGCATCCGCATCGAGGAGTGACAGCAAGGCACGACCACGCAAGGCCTCAACAAGTGGGGGTTTAGGGTTTAGGGTTTAGGGTTTAGGGTTTTAGGGTTTAGGGTTTAGGGTTTAGGGTTGAGGGTTTCGGGGGTTTGGGGTTTAGGGTTTTTGAGATTTAGGGTTTAGGGCGCATGTTGTAAGGGACTATTAAGAGGCAGGCAGAAAAAGGGATTAAGGAATGCTCTCCCTTAGATCAGTTGGTCTATACCAACTACAAATCGCAGAAAACCACCTCTAGCTACTGAACCTGATGTATTGGGCCATTCGGCTGGAGGGTTCATGTTCTGCGGGCCGTCACGTCACGAGGTCTAGAACAGGATCTGCAGTTGTTTGAATCTTTTTGCCGTGTGGGACCCGCCTATTGCTGTGTCCAAATGGGACCGAGGACCGTGATGGACCAAGCGGGAGTCCTAGCAAATCCGAAGCCTCTAAACCCCAAACCCTAAACCCTAAGTTCATAACCTCTGAACCCGAAACCTAAACCCTAAATTCTAAACCCAAACCTCTAAACCCTCAAGCTTAAATCGTGAAAGTGTTCAGGAGATCAGCTGATTCAGGGCCAAATTTAGGGATTGGGAACCCTCCCGGCCCCAGCTCCTTGCTTCTCTGTCCCTGAATACCCTGGTTTTTTTTTCTTAGCGGTTTAGGGTTCAGGGGTTTAGAGTTTAGGGCTTAAGATGTTTCAAGGGGTTTAGCGCCTAGGGTTTACCGGAAGTATATGTTAGGGGTTTATGCAAGCAGTCAGCAGACAATCCGAGCGAGAGGGAAGAGGGGAAGAGGGGAATATGGTTTAGGGTAGCTGTTGATGACGCCGTCGGGATGTCTCCGGCGGAATAGTTCCGGGTGCGACATGACGTGCGAGAGTAAACCTTATCTCCATAGAATCTCTCCCCAATGACCCGGAAGAGACATTGAAGATACACCCTCACCAACTTCTAAGGAGCCGTACATACACTCACCAACACCCCGCAGCATACACTCAACTCACTATCAAATACAAGAAACTCTAAACCCTAAACCCTTTTTCTTGAACCAGAAATCCTTGCCTGAAATTCGGCGTCACAAGCGCGACGAACACAAGACCCAGTTGGAATGGGGTTTGGGGCGCATCTTAGTATACAATCTATTTTATACTTTCTAAAATTAGGTTAGAATAAGGAACCCTGCAGCACAATGTTGGCAATTATTCAAGCTTCAAGCTTCAATGTTGAACCCTAACCCAAAACCCTAAGCCCTAAACCCTAAACCCTAAACCCTAAACCCTAAACCCCTAAACCCCTAAACCCTCAACCCAAAGCCCTCGAACCGTTTGGGCTCCGTTTCAGAAAAAACCCCGGACCTTCTTCCCTGTTGGGGCCATATTAGAAATGATCATGTTTAATCCTTCTTGGGTTTTATGATACCCTTAACCCTAAACCCTAAACCCTAAACCTTAAACCCTAAACCCTAAACCCTAAACCCTAAACCCTAAACCCTAAAATGTAACATTGCATCCAACAAGGACCCAGTGACCTTCTTCACATCGGTGTCGCGGCCGAGGCGAACCAGGGGAACCTGCTGGCTGCTACCGCTAGGGTTTAGGGTTTAGGGTTTAGGGTTTAGGGTTTCGGAAGGGGCCTATCTTAAGAACGAAAACACAGTCTTTGGCTTAGGTTTAAGGCTAAGGTTTAGGGTTTAGGGCTGAGGTTTAATCCTTAGGGTATGGTATGCTGATAACAATGGGACTCCAAGCGGGGTTTTCCGACCTTGATATCAACTACTTCGCTTTGCTTGCAGTCGTTGCTGTATTTTGCGCGGTGCTCGAAACTGCTTTTGGTGCATGACTGATGACGTAGCTGGAGTTTGAGGGATGACGCTGGTGGTAATTAACGGCGACGAGCTTGGTGCTGGTGATGATGACTGCATGGGTGGAGAGCCTGAATACAAAGTCGGGGTCAGCGGTTTATACCAAATTTCAATCAGGCCTGAGCCCAGGTTGTCTGTTGCAGTGGCAGCAGCAAGAACATGCGAAATTGCGAAATCCCAAGCACGAAGCTTGACTCGATGCATGAACTTGAAGCCCTGCTAGCAGCGTGGCTGGTTGCTGAATTTGGGACCGTCAAACGCTGTATAGAGTGCCCCTACTAGCACAGCTGCGATAACCCTAAGTAAACTGCTGTTTTCCACCGGAACGGCTCCGACTCCCTGCCACTGCCACCACTGCCCTTTCGGTTTCGGTTTCGGGCTACCTTCGACCCTGCATGACCGGAAGCGGATACACCCTCGCTCATGAACCCTACAAGCCCCAAGCCCTAAGCCCGTATCATAAACCCTGTTGCATCAGGACGTGTGCAATCGCCCACCCTAAACACTAAACCCTGTTTGCCTTAACTAACCCCCTTTGAATGCAGTCCTGGAAAGACTTGTATCCTCGCTTTGCACAGGCACAGGGCAAAGAGGCTTCACACACTAGTCACGATGCTAAACCCCTACACCCGGAAACAAACCAAACCCCCAAAACCCCAAACCCTGAACCCCTAAACCCTAAACCGCTAAACCCTGAACCCCTAAACCCTAAGCCCCTAAACCCTAAACCCTTAACCCCTATAAACCCTAAACCCCTGTAAACCCTGAACCCCTAAACCCCCACAAGCCCTCCGAGCCTAAGCCCGAGCCTTAACGAACAGCCCTAAAGCCTATCTTCCGCCTTTTTCCTTTTTATTTTTTGTATGTGTAGTGGCACCCCGTTAAAAGGACCTAACCAAAATGGGCTGTAGAAACAACATACAGTAAACCCAAAAGAAATGTTGGAAAGCGGATTCAGGACAAGTTAGTGCCGGGATTCCCTATATATTACGCTCACCCTAAACCCTAAACCCTAGACCCTAGCCCAAGGATTGAGACTATTGGGTTTCCAAATTTTGCGCTTCTACCGTACTATAGGGGCCTTAATGCTTAGAAAAGGGTTTCGGGGTCCTTTATGATGGTATAGTTATAATAAGGAACCCCCCCAAAATAGTATAGGTAATATTGAGGGCCCTATGTTATAGGGTTTAGGGTTTAGGGGTTTAGGGTTCACGGTTGAGGGTTTACGGTTTAGGGTTTAGGGTTTAAGGGTTTAGGAATTTGAACTTGCCCATCGTCAACTCGAGGGCTCCGAGCTTTGGATTTCGGGTTTGGCTGTTGAGGTTTAGGGGTTTTGGGGTTTAGGGTTTAAGGTTTGGGGTCCAGGTTTTAGGGTTCACGGTTTAGGGTCTAGGTTTTAGGGTTTAGGGTTTAGGGTCTAGGTTTTAGGGTTTAGGGTTTAGGGTCTAGGTTTTAGGGTTTAGGGTCTAGGTTTTAGCGTTTAGGGTTTAGGTCTTAACGGCTAAGGACTCGACAAACAAGCAGTCGCCAGATACCTGAGTGCCTGAGAGCAATGCCACTTGCAACAGTACTCATGTGCCCGACAGGCCTGAGCCGAAAACTGCAAAAACGCTGAAGCCGTAAACCCGGCATGGAATCCCATGAACCTTTTGATCAATTTGTAGAACAGCTTTAAACCTAAACCCAATCTAAACCCTGAGCCCTAAACCTTAAACCCTAAAGCCCTAAATCCTAAACCCTGAACCCTAAAACCCTAAAGCCCTAAATCCTAAACCCGAAACCCCCCTAAAGCCCTAAAACCCTGAACCCTAAAACCCTAAACCCTACACCCCAAAATCCTTCTACACCTGGACTGCGCATATGCCAGGAACCCCAAAACCCTAAAGCCGTAAAGCCCTCAAGCCCTAAACCCTAAAACCCTAAAGCCCCAAAGCCAAAAACCCAAAACCCTGAAACCTGAAACCCTAAAACCCTAAACCCTAAACCCTAAAGCCCTAAACCCTAAAACCCTAAACCCTAAACCCTAAAGCCCTTAGCCCTAAACCCTAAAGCCCTACTCTCAAAGCGCTACAGAAAACCAAGAGCCGAACCTTCTGACTGCCACACGCCGCGCTCATTTGACTCACCTTCTGCGCCACGAGCTGGATCAGTGCCTGAGTTCAAAGGGGTTTAGGGGTTTAGGAGTTCAAAGAGGTTTAGGGTTTAGGGGTTTAGGGGTTTAGGAGTTTGGGCGTTCTAGGGGGCCGCAAGCTGGATCATAGCCGTGGCTCAGGAATTAGGATTTTTGGAGCCCCAAGCTGGATCTTCAGGGTTTAGATTTAAAATGGGGAGCCTATAGGGTTTAGGGTTTAGGGTTTTGGGGTTCAGGGTTTAGGGTTCAAGGTTTAGGGTTTAGGGTTTATAGGGTTTAGGATTCAATTGTGGGCCTCTGGACTCTCCGCGACTCGAACGCTGCTTGGCTGCCGCTTTTTGGCTTAAGGCTCGAAACCCTAAACCCTAAACCCTGAATCAGAGCCTTGGTTCAGGGTTTTGGGGGGCCTGAGGGCTTCTTCGGTTTCGGGTTTCGGGTTTCGGGTTTCGGGTTTCGGGTTTAGGGTTTAGGGTTTAGGGTTTAGGGTTTGGGGTTTAGGGTTTAGGGCCTCTTACTTAGCAAGGACAGGGTTTCGAGTTTAGGGTAGCTTGGCCAGGCTAGGCCCTGGGATTTAATCGCCGAGTCTAGGAGTTGAATGATATTCCGTACTTAAAGGTTCATGGGACTTAGTAATTGGGGGTTATAAATAAGATAGGTGTACCTATCACAAATTATAATCCCAGTTGGGGATCTTATAACCTTACTTACTAAGTCCCATGATCTTCCAAGTAGGGCTGGCTCCTTCTTGCTCATTATGGGATTCCCGCTGCACGAGCATACACTATGGGCGGACACGTCGCAGATCCAGGGTTCATAAAATCTTGCGTTTTGGTAGCAACGGCCGTGAGAGACCAGGACCACCACGATAAGAAGACCATCTGAAATAAACCCTAAACCCTAAACATCCCTAAACCCTAAACCCTAAACCCTAAACCCGAGCATTATAATCTTACCGCAAAACCCTGTTCTACTTCTTCAGGCCCGTATATTTGGGCGGCTAAGAACCCTGGGGGTCCCCCTGCAAGAAAGCACATCTCTTCACCTCATCCCCTTGAGACAGTAGGTGTGTACATATGTATATCTACAGAATATACATGTATAGAACAAGAAATACAAGAAGATATACCTATCCATAGAGATAGAGGTGTAGATATCAATGTAGAGATAGATACAGACAAAGCTGCAGATGATAAACCGATAGTTTTAAAAGTAGATAGAGACAGGGATAGAAATCGGAATAGAGATACCCAGAGAGCCCAATACCGCTTAAATAAGGAATATACCTTACATTATAGGGGCCTTAANNTAAACCCTAAACCCTAAACAAAATTCCTTAATTCAGGGTATTGGGTTCTCTGAGCTGAGGTAGAGATAGACTTAGAGTTGTAGAGATGGAGATGGGGGCTTCTCGGTGCGCCAGGCGTGTAAGCCTCTTTAGGATTTAGGGTCTAGGGTTTAGGGTTTAGGGTTTAGGGTTTAGGGTTTAGGGTTTAGGGTTTAGGGTTTAGGGCTTCGGGCTTTGCTGTGAGGAGTTGCAGCTTCGCTCCGCGCCCTGCTCAATCGCC